AGTCAGGTTTCCCACGTTCTCCTCTTGCTCCTCCCCAGAGACCTGTGGAGTGGGCAAGTCTCCACCAGTACCCGTGTCAGCTCACCGGCCGAAATGAGATAGGCATCTGCCCTCATCCACCAAATAAAACCGAGGCTAAAATAAATAAGACATCTCACTTTCAGCGTGAGAGCTGGTCACGCACATTTCACTAAAACAACAGAGTTAGATTTGGTGAGAAGCACTTAAATGAAAGAACCTCCAACAGCACGTCTCCTTGTTGGCTGTAGACAGAGGAGATACTGTGGGGAACTGCTGTTTTAGGTACACTGAAAAACAGCATTTGTTTTATAAAATGGAAATGAAAAAAAAAAAAGACGTGGCTAGCTGTCATCAGTGGGTGTCTGAAAGCAGCAAGAGTAAAAGGGCATACTGAAAAATGCTGCACAAAAGCACACCACAGTGCTTCCTTGCTGCTCGCAGCTTTACCTCACTAGTTCTGTAGTCACTGCCCTTCATCTTTGTTAAAGACAAGACACTGACTCCCACTTTTCTGAGCAATTTGAAGAAATCCTTCGCAATACTTCAGTGATGCAGGCACTTTTCTGCAACACCCTAGACAGGTCCTTCAGCTCCTTGTAAAGTACGTAAATCCTGAAAGCTACATTTTTCTTCAGTATCGAATAATCTTCTAATCCCAGCCACCAACAGATTAAAAACAGAACACAGAAAATCAACCAAAAACCAACTTTCAAAGGGAGCTCTTTGGCAGTTCCATGACAGAGAAACCGTCCGAAACAGGAAATCTACTGTCACAGAGGGTGCTGCACACCTCTGCTTGTTCTCCATGAGTTGGTCAGTGGAGCAATAAAGTGACATGGGTTTCCAAAGTAAAGTTTGCTTTGGTCCCTAATCAGGCTTTCCTCCACCTGAACTCCTGCTGACTTCAATGAGAGGTTAGGTGGAGTGAAAAGTAAATGAGGACTTGAAGATTTGGCCCTTTATGAGTCAAAATTTAGTTGTAAACTTATTTAAAGTCACAAAAACCTCTGCAGCTGAACTCAATGCCACTTTCGAACACAAACCTGGAGAAAACCTGTTTGTTTTCTTTGTGTAAATCTTGCATGTTAACATGATTACGTCTGCTGGGCAGGTGTCTCCATATGTCCATGTTTGCTTTGGCACACAAGCTGCCCCTCTCACCTCTCCAAATTCATGTAAATTTAGTGTTAAATCCTGCCTTTTGTTACATGAGAGTGCCAGGGAGCCCCTCTCCCTTCCCGCACCACGGCTTGCTCACGTCGCAGCTGGGCTGGAGTCCAGCCCAGCACCGCCGGGTGCCAGGCTGGGGAGGGCAAGTGCAGGTACTCATCTTCCACAAGCAGGCAGGCGATCACGGCATGGGATCCATCACCACCCCCTTACCGCACACTCCCTCCTCTACCTCTCAAGCTACTTATGGAGTTGCCAGTTGTCCAGATCCTTGTTTCCCCCGATGAAATCCCCTGCTCCTGGAATCATCTGATTTTGTGATCACCCCAGTTTCCCTGAAAAGTTTTTAGGTCTCCGGATGAGATATATGGAGAAATGAAAAGATCACCCTTTACAGCTCAAAACAATACACTTGATAGAATCTCCAAGCGTCACTCTAACGTTCTTTGCAAGGTTTTGGGGACCCAGCTGTAGTGCTCAGGGTGCCGATACACTTCCCTGCGCAGATGAGATACTCCCTGATCTACCGCTCGCCTTGCTGTTTGCAAGGCAAAAATTTGCAGCTGCTTTTTGATATTGATACAATCAAATTCAATTTTAGAAACTGTTTAAAGGGGCTAAGATTCACAAGGATGTAATGAGCACTAGTGAAGACACCTTTTATTAACGTGGACAAATCTGTCCAGCAAGAACAGTTGGCAGGGTGAAGACCCTGTAAGACAGGATACACGTATTTAGGTATCAAGTGGCACATGCAGATCTCCCAGCACTCCTTCCCCAAGTGCACTGAGGACCCGGGTGCTGTCCTGCTCACTATTTACAGAAATTCAGCAGAGCCACAGCAAACTGTTGGCATCCCGTTGTGCAAGCCTAGATGCACTCACTGCTTTCTGGGCTCTGTGAATTGCTTTTTGTGTAGCAGATTAATCCTAAACATTCAGATCTTGCACCTCATTTTTTGTCTAAGGCCTAGGCAATGATAAAAGCAATTAGCTGCCTAAACCCCTCTCTTATCCGTAATTGGGTGTGATTTTTTTTGTTGTTTGTTTGTGAAAAACACTGAACAAAAATAGCATTTACTATGTGGGCCAGGAAAATAGACCCTGATGACAGCCAGCTCATCTTCCACAGCTGCCTGAACAAACCAACATCTAGTGGATATGTTTTCAGGAACAACTCCAACCAAGAGCTAACACTGTTACTTGGAGGTGACGGACGGACCCATGAAGTTTTAATGCAGCTCTCCACTTTCCATCAGAAATGAAAAGACTCTGGTGACTTTCCCTTCCTGCAGTGTCACATTGCCAGACACATCACCCCCAAGAGCAATGGAGCTGCACAGGAGAAGAGAGTAGTGCACACGTCTCAGCACTCATTTCCACTGGCTTCAAGAAAATATTAAAAAAATTAAAGAGCATGAACCAGAGAGGCCGTAACTGCAGAAAGTTCCCACTTTGCTTCTTTCTCACCCTCACCCTTACCTTTGGACAAGCACATGATTTCTAGCAGGTGTGAAAGAGCCAGGAGACACACAAAAGAGATAAAAGACAGAACAACTCTGAAGAGCACTCAGGAGGCCACATCACAAGCACAGCACACCAGCTCCTAGCAAGCAGAGGCACTCTACCATTATCTAGTTCACAGATGGACCACCCAGAAAATCTGGAGGCAATTAGGAAGGAGAACAAACAAATTCATGGAAAGAAGGGGGGAGGGAGAATGGGAAGGAGGGCCAGAAGGGATTCCTTACATCATCTCCATGCAAGCGTTTCGAGAATGAAGTGAAGCTATATGGAGGAGGAATGCAGATGAAAGAGTTTGCAGTGAGAATGCAATAAAATAAAAGGCTACGAAAACATGTAGCATATGAATGAATTACAACATGGCCGTTAAATTTACAGAAAGTCAGGACAGTGTGTAAACAGATAAGAAACCCATCAAGTTCTTGGAGACACATACACACACACATATAAACAGATCAAATGCTAACTGTCTCTCTCGCTATTAACAGTATGTCAGCCCACCCTGCAACCCAGGGATTCATCGGGCGAAAGGCTGACACTCTCTCCTCTCTGGCTGGCAATAACTGGCACTAAATACTGGCAGCAAAACACAAATGCTACAAACCAACACCAGTGCAAATTTACATCCTATGCATGGACAGGAAGCACAGCAACAGCCAAGAGGCTCATACTATCAGAGCTGCATGCCTGGCAACAGCCAGTTTTCTGCTGGCCTGGATTCCACTTACCCGGCATCTAATCAGCCAGCACCTCACAACACAAAGTCACACTTCTTGCCTGGGAGGCTGACCTGGTTTTGGTATCAAGCGCTTTGGCTTTAACTGACTTCAAGGTGACTATTCAGCCCTCCAGAAACAAGGCCCAGTTTTTAATTGAATGCCTGATTTCAGGCATCTTTGATGGCTTTAATTGTGGCATAGATGGTTGCTTTTGTTGACCAGTACTGCAAAGTTTGCTTTTTCTTTTTAAATGATTTGATGTGCAGTTCGCGACTTTTGCAAGCAAGCACAATTTATGCACTGTGTTTTATAGGAACCAAAAGTCACAGCAGAAAAATGACTCAAAATAAAAACTGAACATACCAAATGTTTTGAAGTGATCTTAATCAATAACACTGTGTTTACTTTGTCTTGGCCTCTGAGAGGCAAATTCTGGTCGCTAAGGACATCTTATAAACATATTAAAGTTCACACAAGCACTTCTTAAAGTTTTTTAGTTTACTAGAATCTTGGTAAACTCGCTTCCTGATAATTTTCCCTAAAAATAGTGCTTATTAACTCACGAGTTCAGTCGAAAAAATCTACTATCCGCTCCTCTTAGCAGCAGCTACAATATGGCAATTAGTTTACCTTAGAATAGACATCAAAGGCTCAAAGGATGACCCTGCCCCAGAAGAACAAAATCTTTTAAAAGCCCCATTCCACTCAGTTTGCTAGTTTATAAGGTTTGCTAAAATCCAGTTTAATGATCATGTAGTTTCTTAGCAAGTCATGTGGTGCCATATTGTGTAAGGAACAGAAGAGTTAGTTCGAAAACCTTTTTGAACTTGGGGAGCTTTTCCGACCAGCTGATGCAGAACCACATTCTGAGACGGTAAATGAAACTGTTGGATGCAAAAGCCTCACTATGATTTTCTTTAGCTTCTTTCAGAAGAGACAAAAATTCCCACACAACACATACTCTCCCCTTACAATGCAAGATTCAATAATAGCAATATGTTCAAGTCCATATGGTGTGGATGTAAGGGAGAGGCACAACGAGAATCTGAAAACCCTGAAAGCAGGGGCCTGTAAACAGCAGTGGAAAAAAGCAGAAGCATAAAGAAACCCTGTAAGGTGAGACCGAATGAAGTTTTAGGGCACACTGGATTAGCCAGTTCTTTTAGCTACAGTCTTCATATCCTGAGTTGCAGACAGTTCCATTCCCCGACATGGTTATCAGATTGACTTTTTTTTTTTTTTTTTTCTTTTTTTTAATGACATACAACCAAGTCCTTTCAAAACCAGTCTGGCCCAGTGGCCAGATAGCAGCACTACAAGTTACCAGGCAGGGGACTGAGCTGTAGTTTCCAATACAGCCTCACAGCAATAACACAGGAGAAATGAAACTGGAAGGGCTGATTTCAGTGGGAGGAAAACAGATATGAAAAGGAACAACAATAAATAAATAACTCTCGAAAAAAGTCTTCTTGCCCTGTCTGGAATCACATTTGAATGGTGAATGAGAAACAGGGAGGGAAAAGAACAGGAAGGGTCTATTTTAAACATTAGCATAGACTTGCCCCACCTCTTTCCGTTACTATCACGAAGCATGGCTTTTCCCAGCTCTCTCGTCTTCATCTCCAACTCCTGAACTTGCTCCAGTAAAGTTTTATGGTAGGTATGCTTGGCCCTGTACCACAAAGGAAAGACAAACAGAAAAACAAAACAAAGAAGCCATGTGAACATTTGTTTTGCTACAAAACACCAGCTTTACCTCTCAGATGAGAGGTGCAGATCCTTCCCTTGAAGGATTTGGGAAAAAGGCACAGTGTATGCATGCCAGTTCAGGTTCACAATAGCTGGGAAATATTACATAAGAAATGAGAAATTAGAAGGACGTCAAATCTAGTAGAGCTCAGCTGCTTCAACAGAACACTCGAAATCTAACCAAGCAGCAAAGCTACGGGACTACGGAGACCTGACACCACTGCTGTGGGACTGCCCAGGACCCCAGCATTCAGACAAAAGAGCTGGGATTCATTGAATATTCATGGCAGTAAAACAGGATTCTACTCTGTCTTTTGAGCTATGCGTGGCACTACTCTGAAAACCTGAGGAGAGTCTCAGATAATAATTGCCATTCAAGCCCTTTTATTTTCATTTATCGGTCTCACATGACTCGGAAAGGCACTTCTGTCCCCAATGAGCTTTCAAGTGACAGTAACAAGACTGGCTGTGTCCTATTTTCTTGGCTTGGGGATTCAAAGAGCAATCCATATACCATATGTGCAATCAAAATTTGGAGAGCAATGTCCCCCAGGAAGAGACTCGGGCCTCTTTTCCTCCCAGTTTCACCTACTGCTCCAGCGCTATTATACCTAAACAACATTGATATAAGGAGAGAATCTAGTCCCCTCTGTCTTGACATGTACAAAGCAATAATACAAAACACAGGGATCTCTCTGCAATGTGCAGTTTCTGATCAGCTTCCTCTTTTGTGTCACTTAAAGGAGGGTAAGTATCCCATGAGATAATACTGATTTGCATGTGACTGCACAGTAAGCCTGAAAACAAGATGGAGCCAAGTCAGTTGAGACACCACTTGCTTCATGGCATTAAAATAATATTCTTCAACTCCAGAGATGGCAAAAATTTCTTTACAAGTTTTATAAACATCTTACATGCACACACTATAATCTTTAAGCAATGATATAAAACAATGTCAAACTCCCTCTAGCAGAAAAATAACAACTGGTGTATATGTAATTAAAATATAATGAAGATGCATTTACTTTTAAAAAGCATGATTCTTATTACTCCTTCCATGGGGAATAAGAAACAAAGACTACAAAATCTTTGCTCATACTATTTTAGATGACAGTGCCTTGGTATTAATACTAGGTTATCCAAGTCCACTGGTCTTTGTGTTGCTGAATTAGGCCTCAAATGCCTCAAAATGAGAAGCAAAAATGAATGCTATTTTTCAAAACACAACTTCTGCATTTAAGAGGGAAAAAAAAGAGAACAACAAAAAATGAAGCGCAGCAAAATCTGGAGGTAAAGAGTATCAGAACATACTTAGAAGAGCACCCTATTAAAACAAACCATACAAGGTGTATGATTTGCAAGGGAACACCAACGTACTGTGACATAAGAGATAAGTAGCGAGGATATTTTTAAAATGCATAAAGTTTCAAGAATGTGAGAATACCAATAGCTACACAGAAATTAATTAGATTCAAGTTTCTATAACTAGTTAGGCTAATGATTAGACTGGTCTCCTCTTTAAAGAAGGGAAACTATAGTGATTAAAATAAGAAAGCTTTGAGCTATTAATTCTTGCAATCTTTATAGCTGACTTCACTATCACACTCTAATTTGAGTAAATACATGGGAATTTTGACCTTGAACTCACGTCTTACCTTTTAAGGAGGCCACATCTACTATTGCAATCTTGAAGACTGAGCATGTTTGGAACTTGTAAAATCCTTTATAACCCCTTTTCCCACAGACAAGAACACAGAAATTGCCAAGCTATTCAATCTCTCCCAAGTTTCCATGTTTATCTTGCCTTACACCATAGGAGATGAGAGATGTTTTACTTTTCCCTTAGAGCGAATACTGAATTAAAAATTTAACAGAATAGAGCCTGAGCAACAAAGTCCAATTAGAGCAGCACAGCACAAGGAGGCATTGCACTGATATTTCACAATATGGAAAAAATACTGTTGACCCAAAATTGTGGATACTGAATTATTTTGTAAGTAGTGTGAAATGATGAAACATATGGCCGCTGCTATGGCTGGGTATCCATAAAGCAACCATAAACCTGCAGGTAATTGTTATGCACTGAGTCACTGCTTCACTTGGAAGCAAGAGCATCCATGGAAGAGTCAGTGATTAAGTATTTATAAAAAGGGTCTGAGCTAACCTAATTCACATGTTTCTCCAAACACAAATACTAAAATACGGTATTACAATTGCCTCAGAGTCTGAGCTTGCTCCCATCAAAGTCAGCTGCAAATATTCCATGGACCGTTGACAACAGGACTGGATACTGCATGACTTTTTCACAACAGCACACTATTACCTTTAGATAAATAAAAAACCAGGTAGAAGTCTTAGCTTTTACCTCATACTTCACAAGTGGCATGAGATGCATAATCACTCCTCAATAAATTATGAGACTTTATGTTCGATGCTAGTATTCAGCTGAAATCTGATGCCATACATAAAGACAAACTCACCTTTCCCTCACACACTGGGATATTAAGATCATGGACTGTAAGAACAGGTAAAGGGTTATCTTTGTATTTTGGGTGGCCCTTCCCCTTCCAAGCCAGGGAAGTGTGTAGCTTCACTGTCCTAGGAGGATATGTAGGGGGTTCAGGAAGCCAGAATCTGCCAGGACGAAGTGTGGTTACATTCATAAACTTTTCTCAAACCTGATGACAGCTCTACTCTGGCTCATTATCCTCAACACCAGTTTAGGAGTCTTGAGCTCCAGGGACTGCAAGCGTGTGCAAGGATGGGAATTGCTCCTCATATCTCCTCTCTTATTTACACTGTGGAGCTGGCAAGGGCAACATGCCTCCTCCCCCATGGTAAAAAAGGTACCTGAAGATTTTGATAATGATTGGAAGGCTCAGGAAATTTTTCACTGTAACATAAAGTATCGAGATACCAATTATTAATAGATTTTTGCCCTCTTGCCTAATTTTGCTGGAATACATTCAGTGTTTTATGATTCCCACACAGCTGTGTGGCTCAGCTATTTTGAGACTTCCTAGCACCAGTGACAGGTATACCTGTGACATGTGCCAACTGTGAGGAAGCACTCACCTTATAAAGCTCTGTTCATTTCAATGGTAGCACAACTGGGACTTTTATAAGGCAAAAAAAGCAAATCCAAACCAAGCCACTGAATTCAGGGTAATGGACCAAAGTTAACAATGCGGTATTGCAGCCAAGTATTAATAATAAGCTTCCTTTGCTTTTTAGTGAGAGTTTTGCACATTTCCTTGATTCACTTAAAAAAAAAAAAAAGCCTGGAGCTGCAGAGAACATGGCACATAAGAGGTATGTTGACAACTGTAGCCAGCGCAACAAAGGGAATGTGTTAAGCTAGCTCTTGCTTCCAGCATTACAAGTTTTGATAGTGGATGCAGCACAGCAGTTTAGAAACAAAGATTTGTATGGGTTTGAAATACACTTTCCTATCGCTTTTAACCCTTAAGCACAAAACCTCTGTTTTTTAACCCTTCAAGACAAAAACCCTGTGCCGTATTTATGGTTTTCTGGCATCTTGTACTGAAATTAGGCATGTAGATTTTGGGTCATATGGATGCTCTTTCTGTGGACATATGCTTCATGTCCAAAAGAAACTGAAAGGGATAAATTCCATGACCATGAGAAGTCAGAGCTGCTGGAATTTTATGGCCAAAACCAGATTCTGCTGAATTACAGACAGAAATGTGGTGTAACCGCTGCTGTGGAAATGTGCCGGCTGATTTCCAGGGGCCTTGGGCTCAAGTTTTGAATGGCAAGCCTCTTGGAAAAGAAACAGACCTTTACTCCTTCCATATGGCAGTGCTGATAGCTGTGTCATTTCATTTATCCTAGTTAAAATGGTAATGGTGTTAATTTTTCAGTGATGGGTTAAAAAAAAAAAAAAAATGTCCTGCTCAGAGAACAGATTTTTTGTTTAATGTTGATAGGAGCCTCCTGTTTAAAGTCTGTTGAGAAAATATCAAACATACACGTTTGTCTTGAGAGCTTCACAATCTCTGTACATTCTTGGTCTGAACCACTGAAGGGATTATGTTGCTGAGATTTCTCTAAGAAACACTAAAGAACAGGCTGAGTCAGTAACAAAGTTTTAAATGAGTAATAGCTGAGGATGAGCCTGCCTTGGTCTGGTCTATTTCATAATTTTGAGTAATTTCTGCTAAGAACTGATAAAAACAGAGGACAACTTTGGGACATTCAACTACCATGAAAACATTGCAAAAACTAAAGCATAACCTTGGACACCTAAAATATATATTTGATCCCCAACGCTGCAAACAGTTCAGCTCCTATTTAGCTTTAATCACAAAAGTACTCCCACTGACTTCTAAGCAGGTAATTTTAAATAATGCCTGACACAGAAGCAGGGCCTGTTATGCTAAATAAATTCTAAGATTTTTTTTTTTTTCCTCAGAGCTTTAAAAAGCAGGTCCTAGACACAGTTAAATACCTAAATTTAAACATTTTGGCCTCATCTTTAGAATTATAAAATAATTTTCAATTGGAGAATTTTAATGAGTGTAACAAAAAAACCTCTCTAGTGTGCTAGACTATTAAATCATGGTTTGGCCTCAACAGACATTTTACATTATGATGCCTAGTTTTAATTTTAGCAGTGTAGCTTGTAAAAACTAATCTGAGGAAGAAAATAGGAAAATATTTAAGAAGTACTTACTGATTGGTAGGTTTTCCTACTACCAGTTTAATTTAGCTGTGCTATCAACCCCATTGGAAGAAAATATTCAGATATATGTGTATGACCGGATTTATTATTTTATGCCAGTGTTTGAAATGTACCTATGTTTGGGAAACTTTCTGCTTTTCTCAGTATTTTCTGCATCTCTCTGTAGAGAAGATTGGTGGACTTGGCAATGCTATGTTTACGGTTGGACTCAATCTTAAAGGTCTTTTCCAACGTAACTGATTCTACGATTCTAAGAAACTTTGTCGGCTGACTGACAGCTCATTCCTGGAGCGAAGTGTTACGTGTTATGATGCTTTCACATCGCGCCTTTGTGACAAGTGACAAGCTAACCTATATCCCCTCTTCACTCCAGCTAGGATCTGCCTTTTTGCCCCAGAGCTGGAATGCCCTGGATCCTCCCTGCATGGGGTTATTGCATGTCCATGTATAGCAAAACCTTTTTTGCTGTAACACAGCTTTACAAGGGAAAGGATGAAAGCTTTGGTGCTCAAGACACTTAAAAGCAAGCTGAACATAACACTGGAAATTCTAAATTAAAATGATACTTCTGCATTTCAAATTGCAAGGGCAGAGGAGGCAAGTTGCTTGTCTTTAAATCAAAGTTATTGAAATTGCTTGCCTGCTGCAATACTTTGAAACCACAGAGTTTTGAGAGAAGGTGATTACACAGGTTTGTACTTTACAATGGTTGTTCCTCCTCTCTGGGCAGGGAAGGAATCACTAAGACTGTACTTCAACCACAGAGTATTGCTCTTCTCTCAGGTAAGTCTTGGAAGACCCACTGTTGAGGGAGAACCTAAACAGCAGCTGACTGTGAGATCTGTGAGATTACTGGGTATGGATTAGAGAGCCACATTTTTACTTTCTACCTAACCTTAGTCGAATTGAATGAATGTAGGCATAGGAAATCTCTGATGTCTGATTTAAATTTGCCTTTAGGTAAAGGGGAGACAACACAAATAATCATAAGATGACACACCTTCATTACTCAGACAAGGCTGCCTCCTTCAGATTCAGAACTAACTATTCATCCTCTCACATCGCTGGTTGCACTGGCAGGTGAGAAATGACTCCCACTTTACTTTGCTCAGAGGTCTCCCAATGGAGTGTCACCATTTTGCATTCACTGAAAGGCTTTGTAGTTTTTTACAGAACAATACTGGACTGAGCAACACGTGCATACAGAATAATTCCGCAACATCAAGAGGACTGTTTCAGGACTTACGCTGTCCATGCCACGTCTTTAACAAGGCACGCAGTGGGCACGAGAAACAAGCCAAACCAGAAGTATCCACATCTTAAGACCATTCCAGCCTGTGAAGAAAACAAACAAATAAATCATGAATATTTTCAAGCCGTTACATGTTAAGTGGTTGTTTACAAGGAAAGGGCAGAGTGATGGCATCAAACACGTACTGCATCCATGATCTGGGTGGTGTTGAAATCTAGTGGTGGTGGTAACTCTCAACAACTCTTAACAGAAGCCAGGCCTATAATTAACATCCAGCAATGGCATTTCTCATTTCCATCATTCCTTAGAAATTTTCAAAAAGCATTTTGATCAAATCCTCCACCAATATTAATTTGTGGATCCAGGAACACACATTCTCACTCAAAGAAAAGCACCATAAGTATATTTAGCTTGCACTTTTGACTATCGTTTGTGCCATTTGCTCACTCTTTCTACCCACTGTTTTAGATCTCTGAGCAGCATCAAACTGACATTAAAAAAACCCCGACATTTCTCACTAAAAATGTTTCAGTCATATTTCACTTAAATAAAGCACTTCCTGTTCAAACTGCTGCTGCCTGAAACCCAGGGTGGGAAAGATTCACTCCTGTCCAACACAGATGGCTTTTTTTACAAACAAAAGAGCACAAAGTTTATATTTGCGTTTTTCTCATTGTTGTAATGCCTGAAGAAAAAAGCTCAGTAGGATTTGAGAAGGAAGATATATGGAAACCCCGCAAGTCCCACCATACACACATGGTTATGGAACAAAGTTCAAATACAGCACTATCTACAGAAGTGCTATTTTAGGCCATCAGAATCTTTTACAGATAAATTAATGGTAAGGCCCAGGTTTGCTCCACGGAAGACTTGACACAACCTAACCGCCTCTTGCACGCACACACACACATACCTCCCACAAAAATAATTTAAATTCTCTAGTACATTATAAACAGAAAAGATTTTTTTTTTTTCCTCTAATGACTCATGTGCAGCACACAACTAAAACAGGGGCTGAAAGGTGTCAACAGCATTGCCAGTAGCTAGCCACATTTTTCTCTCTTGCCAGTTACAGATGCTGCCATACCCCTTCCCCAAAACCTTTACTTCTCAATATTTTGTATGCCACAGAATGCACGCACATGTATCTGCCGATGCTAACGTGCCATGTCACCAAAGGCAGGGAGGCCTGTACCCGCAGGCACGGAGCTAAAGCAGCTGCCTCCCCGCTGTAACGCTGGCTCGGCTACGCCTCGCTGGGGTAGCACACAGGAGAGCAGCAGCCCACAATGCCGAAGCTTCAGGGCATTTTACAAACACACACGAAGATGAGCGACACAACATGGAACCAAATAATACTTCTACTAGCCTTTGAAATTCCTTGTGAGAAGACAAAATTTGTAATTATACCCTTTGTAAGACAAACGTGGTTGATCGCCACAGAAGAAACTTCTACCACTCACCACAGCAAAACTTTCAGTCATATTTAGCAGCAATTTGCCCTTGGACTGCCAAGTCGTGAGTGCTTCCAAAAGCATTTTTCACTTCTGAACGTTAAATCCTCCATGCTGTTGCTGGACTGACAGATCAGTGGTAAATCTTGTACGGAAACCAAGAGCAAGCTAAGCTGTGCTAAAACATATACGGACACACTCTGCCACCCACACGAACAGCAAGCAAACACATTCCAGTCCCAGAATCAGCTCTCAGTCATTTCTGAGTCCTCATGCCTCCTTTCATATGAGTGTGCCAGAAGCATACAGGCAGTATTAGCTATATGCTTATTTAAGGAAAAGGATGTGCAGGAATAAGAGGAAAATCATAACTTTATTGTTAGCCAAAGAGCTGAACTGTAATAACACAGTGGCAAAATGTAATGAGATTTATCCTCATGCCTTGCTTTTCTTTGGCTGTGATCCTGCAAGTGCTAGCAGTCTGATCACATCAGCATTTCCACTGACCATCCTTCCATTGCTTATGCTAATAAAGGCTAAAAAAGGGCCATAGTATTCCATATGCATTTTCTGCTATTTTTGGTTCAAATATTTTACGTTCCACTTTTTGCTTTTCTAGCTGAAAGCAACTCGACACACCTTCAAAGTGCAGAACAATCTATGTTCAGTAGAAGTTTAAACGCTATTATTGTTGTTATAAATGTTGACATCTCAATCAATGGCTATGAATTTGGATATCTCACATGTTAAGCTTGACACCGAAAAAAAAAAACCCTCAAGCCAAATACTTTTTGCCTGCAATTATGCATTTTACCCAAGTATAATTCTGCCCAAAAACTGCTCCATAACAGTAAAACTATTCATCTCACCTGAACCCTGTCAGACACTCTCTTTATTACTGGCAAGTCTTTTTCCACACAACACTCTCCAGGACTTTACTCCATTCCTGAGCTCACCTGGAAGGTTTCTTCCCTGCTCATCTCTAGTTTCCTGTTGGAGTTCTATGACTGCTATGCTGCATGACACTGAACTGGTTTGTCTTGCGTGCACAGCTCTGCCTCTGACCTCTGCCTCCTCTCTGGCATGGTGGCACCATCTGCTCACAGGATGGGAGCTCCTCAGCAGAGGATTCACTAGAAACCACCTAGCACATTCCAGGCACAGACATAAAGAGCATTTTCAGGATTTTCTCCAATCTGTGGGATAGAGGGCTGGGTTATGAACAAAAACTATAGTAAGAACACCTCCATATCACAACAAAGCCTTCCTCAGGCCTCACAGCTATTGCTGTGCTCCATTCCAGCTGTTCAGCTATTCATGACAGCAGTGAAGACAGTACTGCAACACATCTTCATTGAAATGCAACATTTCTATACCCAGTCCCAATGAGTAACACCCTTCAGCTATCAGTTATTTCCCCCAAATAAGGAAAGCAGAGCTACTAAACAGGAATCGCCACCATTTTTTTTTTCTTTTTAAGGAGGTCAGAGAGCAGTAGAAATACTTTGGTTTTGAAACAAATTCAAAATTTGATCAGTGCTGTCATCACACAGACCCCACGGCAAGCAACTAAGTAATTTTTATTCTGTCTACTGATGTAAACATCAGTAACTAGCACATCCAAAGCCAACTCCAGAAACCATATATCACGTAGCACCCCAAAACCACTTGAGACTAATTCAAGTGCTTCTGCTGAAGACACTGCAGCTTAAACTCCTGCCATCAGTAGAATGCCTTCCAACCAATGACAAGGCTGCCACAGTAAAATCACTCATTTTAGAGAAGCGGTAATATATTGTTAAAATAAAAAAAAAAAAAAAAATGGGAACAGAAAGAAAAATCTTAGCTCCACTCATTTCAGCTGAGGAGCCAACAATTTAGGTCCCACTATCTTTAACCTCTTGTAAACTGGTTTTGTAAGGGTGCATACTTTTTTCTTTTAAACACAGCAAAAAACAGTGATAGCACTGGTCAGTCAAAATGAGTAGGAAGATCTGCTCTGTACTTACTGGTTTAGTAAGCCTAGGTTAAGGGGGTTTTCTGTTTTGTTTGGGTTTTTGTTTTGTTTCATTTTGTTTGTTTGTTTTAAATCAAGGACATGCTCTACACAAGCCTATCAAACAGGGAATAGGTTATTTCAAAAAAAACCCCAAACTCTTAAATTGCAATATGGAATACATTTCAAACTCTTTCCTCCATTTTACTACTCTTTCTTAGTATGCAAATAAGCTTCATTCATAGTTCTCCTTTTCCACTGTGGTGAGTTGACATTGGCTGGACGCCAGGTGCCCACTAAAGCCACTCTATCACTCCTCTCCTCAGCTGGTCAAGGGAGAGAAAACATAACAGAAGGCTCATGGGTCAAGATGAGGACAGGGAGAGATCATTCAGCAATCACTGTCATGGGCAAACCAGACTTGACTTGGACAAATTAGTTCATTACCAATCAAATCGGCATAGGATAACATGAAATAAACCCAAATCTTAAAAATACCATCCGCCCCAACCCTTCCCCATTCTTCTCAGGCTTAACTTTACTCCCAATTTTGCTACCTCCTCCACCTGCAGTGGCACAGGGGGATGGGGAATGGGGGGTTGTGGTCAGTTCATCACACATTGTCTCTGCTGCTCCTTCCTCCTCGGGGAGGACTCCTCACACTTTTCCCCTGCTCCAGCGTGGGGTCCCTCCCACCCAAGACAGCCCTCCATGAACTTCTCCAACATGAGTCCTTCCCACGGGCTGCAGTTCTTCACAAACTGCTCCAGCGTGGGTCCCCCGCGGGGTCACAAGTCCTGCCAACAAACCTGCTCCAGCGTGGGCTCCTCTCTCCACAGGTCCCGCCAGGAGCCTGCTCCAGCGTGGGCTTCCCACGGGGTCACAGCCTCCTTTGGGCACATCCACCTGCTCTGCCGTGGGGTCTTCCACGGGCTGCAGGTGGAGATCTGCTCCCCTGTGGACCCCCCTGTGCTGCAGGGCACAGCCTGCCTCACCACGGTCTTCACCAGGGGCTGCAGGGGAATCCTCCAGCACCTGGAGCACATCCTCCCCCTCCTTCTTCACTGACCTTGGTGTCTGCGGAGTTGTGTCTCTCACATATTCTCACTTCTCTTTCCAGCTGCAACTGCACAGGAATTTTTTTCCCTTTCTTGAATACGTTACCACAGAGGCACTACCACCATCACTGATGGGCTCGGCCTTGGCCAGCGGCGGGTCCATCTTGGAGCCAGCTGGCACCGATTCTGTTGGACATAAGGGAAGCTTCTGGCAGCTTCTCACTGAAGCTGCTCCTGTAGCCCCCCCCCCCCATCAAAACCTGGCCACCCAAACCCAATACATCCACCAACAGGTGGTGCCACTATTTTCAACAACAACTTCCAGGGAGAACCAAGCGAGATGTGCCCAGGGATGGGAAGTCAGATATCCAGACTGTTTTGGTATTCTTACCACATCATGGTTAGATAACAACTGGGGACCAGTAAATGACTCAGGCAAAGCAAACAAGGGTCTCAACCATCTTAGCTTGTTCAAGAGAAGTGAGACAAAGTTTTAATTTGTATTTTGAATAATAGAAGTTGTTTTGTTTTTTCACTTCGTTTCCTCATACACCCATGCATCCTAACTCTGGTAA